GTTTTTGGATAATCTTCAGCAGAATCTTGCTTGCATGTGATATCAATGATACCGTTCGATAATTTCCACACTCTGTTGGTGCGAATCCACCAGCTGTTCTGTGGGAGAAAGATGGGCAGTCTCCCCACACCTGCTGTTCACTGCCTCTGAAAACTTGCTGGAGGGTCGGCTATGTGTGGATTAGAACTCGAAGGTACACAAAACAACATGTACTAAAAGAGAAGTGTTAGCATGTAAGTGTCAAGCACTTTCTAAGTGCTGAGTGTCTCTGTGAGGTGCTCATTTAATCCTCACGACCCACTGAGGTAGTTATCATTGTGTCTACTTCATGAATGAGGAAATGGAAGCATAGGACAGGCTTCTGCAAGTATTTCTGGAGGGTTGATGTTTTTAAAAATATGAACAGTTAAACTTCTGTTAAGTCTGTTAATGACCTCATAAGACTCATAGTATCACATGCTACTTTCACAGAAATAAATGTAAATTCCATTGCTGGATGTTACCTATATGATGGATGGAAATATTATTTTTGTATTGATATTTTAATGAAAACTTACAGAAAACTTGGATTTCCATTCATTCATCATTGTACGTTTCCTCCCAGTTCATTTTTCTCTTTAAAAATATTCTTTCAGCAAGCTCTGGTGGCCTAGTGGCAAGAAGCTGCACTGCAATCCCAGAGGTGAGCGATTCAAATCCACCAGATGCTCTGCTGGAGGAGGGACAATCTCTTCCTGTACCAGTCATATCTGATTTGACAGTACACACACACAAAATAATAAAAATTAAAACAAAAATTCTTTCATTTTTGCACAATTTCCTCCCTCCTCACTCACCCCCAGTCCGCTTTGCTATGCACCTCTTATTCTGGACTGTTGTCATGCAAATAATACGTAATCATTTATTTATTTTAGAAAGTTCTTTCCTTCATCTATTTAAAGGCAGTGCTCATTATTTATCCTCTCTTTTAGTTTTCTCCCAACCCCCATGTCAGTCCTGTTTTATAACAGTGACATTATGCAGTATTTGTCCTTTTATGACTTAGATATTTCATTGAGCATACTGTCCTTCAGGGTCACCCGTTTTGTATGAAACTTCATGAGTTTCTGGAGTTTCAGTGCTGTGTAATATTCCACTATGTGGATATGCATCAGCCTCTCTATCCACACATTTGTTGATGGGCACTTGGGTTGCTTCCATCTCTTTGCTATTGTGAACAACGCGGCAATAAACATGGGTGTGCATATCTGTTTGGGTAGCAGTTCTCATTTCTTTAGGGTATTTTCACAGTAGTGGAATTGCTGCGTCGAACGGTATTTCTTTTTCCATCTTTTTGAGAAAGCATCATACAGTCTTCCAGAGTGGCTGTACCGTTTTACACTCCCACCAACAGTGAATAAGGGTTCCAATTTCTCCACAACCTCGCCAGCATTTGTTGTTTGCTGCTCTGTTGAACTTTGCTATAGTTACTGGTGTGAGATACCGGAAATGTTCTTTTTAATAATGTTCCACAAAATGGTGACATCTACCATTAGTCAACTGACCATGGGAATCGGAGAACTCGGAACTCACAGATCCAATTGTTGTTGGCTGAGATGTTGTTGTAGCAAAAATCTCAGCTCACAGGCCACAGGAGTGAGCGGGGCTGCACCCACATCCTGACATACCCTTTTGTTTTTAAACTGGGCAGCTCTGCGTTTTTGTTACAAAAGGATCCTTACTTTCTGATTCTTT